CAGACCCTTTGTACCGATACCGTTGCAGGTACAACACGATCGTTCTGCACGTTTCATCATTACTGTTCACGATGCGATAATTTATTGTTGGATGAAATGTTTGTTGGAGCTGAAAGATTTCTGTTGGGAACTTCAATTAAAGTAATAATGATTAACCCCTTGCCATTTATAGATTAATTTAACCCTTAGCACCCCAGATGGTTTTGTAATTTATCAGTAACTGCAACTAATTTTTATGGTATCTCTAGTGAAAATGAAAAATGCTATAACATTCCTTCGATCTTTTATTTTCCTTCTCAGTACAAAATTTGGATGTGCAGAAAATTTAATAATTTTAAGGTAGTTTCTTTGATTCATTAAAATATTATAACTGGTGCAATATTGGAGCCTACAGAGTTCAAAGGGTTAATAAAACTGAATGTTGTTCATTCCCTACGGATCAAAGTAAAAAATTCCAAATGTACTATTTTCAAATTAAATTTCTACGTAAAGTAGAACAGAAAATTTTATTGCATTTCGTTCAAATTGTCGATAGTAAAATGTTACACGAGCTCAGTAGCGAAAGTAAATACATCAAGGGGTTAAAGATTAAAGTATTGAGTGTAGCAATTAGTGATTCAATATCGTTTCTTCAAATTTGTGGTAATTTATTTCTAAGTCTCTATATTTAATGTTTGATAAAAATTGTTACTTTCGTTTTTAGTCCAAATGTGTGGGTTTTTAATGTTAATGAACTTTTGCTAATAGTCATTGTTGTTTTTGGGAGTTAGAGGATTGAGATAGATTGTTAGCTTTGATGATAGAAATGAATTGTTATATATAAATCAGTCTATTTTTTGTGTAAAGGAGACACAATTTAATATCACTCTTTACAGCATCAGATATATTCTCAAGTAATGTAATTAAACACATATCACCATGAAATCCTTAAATCAAGTAATTCATACAAACACCTGCAACCTAAATAACGCTATCAACTAATAAATTACTACAATGTCAAAATAAACTCCATATTCTAACTTGACTTCACGTTTCTACATAAAATTCCATTTTCCCACTTGAAATATGCAAAACAAATTTCAAGAATGATTTCCTAGATTCATCATTTTAACACGTTGAACGTCGCACGATGTCATAGAGCAAAATACACAAAATGGGAAAAATATAATATTAAATCATTTGATTGAATTGCGTAATTATTTCTAAATAATCGTCGTTTAATTGAGTGAATTACAGTAATTCGATTTGGTTTTGGGTCACCGGTGGCCCCCATGGCATACAACGTGTTAATACAATAAAACTAACGTACAAAAGAATTAATAAATTGAATTTCATGAAAACACTTTTCTTATTTTTGATAAAACTCAGCGACCTTCTTTACAAGACCCATATATCAGACCCTGTAATTTATTTGAAAAGTTTGAACAATCCGTTTCCAAGAGTCACGCGACTCTTGATAAAAGAGCTCACTAATGTCGCCTGGTGAATTAATCGCGCGATTAAATGGACGACGGTTCGTTAAATGAAAGCGTGACTCGGGCCGTGTTCGAACAATGATTTCAATTATGCAAACTACCGTGGCGGGAGCTCATAATTTCACCGGGAACCGTGCACGAGCGATCGCGTTTCCCTTGTAACTAAAATCGCGGAGTAGTTTTCGCGAATCAACCGTTCGCGAATTGCCATAATTTGTTTTGCCGCCAGCCGCTGGGAATTTCTCGAGAATAATCTCCCGTGAGCTATGCTCACGGATGCTTCAGAGATGTGTGATCTTGGTGAACTCTGATTGCGCAGAATAATAACAGTGGAACTGTCGCTATTCTTGATAAACGGTACTTGAACTTCTGCCGAGTTTCTGCGGTGTACCAACTGTTACTCGCGTGACAGAAGTTCAGGTAAAATGACGGGAATTAATTGGAGTATGAATAGAAAGAGTATAGCCGAGAGTTTGTCTGGCTGGAGAACGAGTATACTACTTGTCTGGTTGGGAAGCGAGCTGTTATACTTGTACGAACGTTAAGTTTTCGTCTTTTAAATGGAGAAGTATATTGTTTATGTGATAGAGAAATTAAAAGTAGAAATGAAAAATCTAATAGAAAACTATATTATTTGTCTTGTAGAGAATAAGAAATGTAAATGAAGAAAACTATATTGTTTATATAATAAAAAGATAGTAAATCAAAATGAGAGGATTGAATAGAAAAATATTTGGGTTGAATTCAGTGTAACCAAGAAAGATAACATTTCACTCTTCAGAAGATCACTCTTTTGAGAGGAAAATATTTAACAATTAGTTCCATTCATTGAAATGCCGTCTGTCTTCAGGTCTTGACTTGTTCTACGTTACTCGTTCAACGAAGAATAATATTTCATTTATCTAGCAGGAAAATATCTGACAATGTGTTTCACATAGCATAAATGAAAGTTTCCACGTTCTCTTTGTCGGAGTAGACACTGGATATATACTACTTACATCAGCATTTATATTTCCGAATGCTTCGAACATTTATTTGTTTTGTGGTTGAAGGAATGTGAGCGTTTATGAAATAAGCACCGAAATTAAATGAAATGTTGATTCAGTTCAGTGGTTTGATCAATTTCCAATGTTTTCTACTTGTCAGAGCAAACTGTGATTTATTCCACTTGATCTGTTTCTAGAGATTCGTCAGTTCACTTGTCGATCGAATTTCTATAACCTTCATTTGTCCCAATTTTAATTATTAGATTTTTCTTTATTGGGTAAAATATTGAAGTGATTTTATTAACGATCATAACATTTGCACTACTAAAATTATGTATCTAAAAATTACATAACATATGCTCTACATTATTGATTATTATTTATTGATATTAATTCCTGTGATTCGGGGAATAAATTTAACTGAATTACTATTTTGCAAATATGCAAGTGTACTTCCTGAATGTGCTCCAGGAAACAACTGAAAATGCAAATTAATTAAATATTAATTACAATGAAATTTGCCGGGCGCTTAATCATGCTGTTGCAATTTAATATTCAATCTCAACGTCACATATTATTTTCGAATTTAATTATTCCCCTTCATATGTAATGCTGTTTAAATGAAATTATTTATTTAAATAAGGTGTAAAAAAGCATCAGTATTTATAACATATTCATGAATCGAATAATATACCTTCAAATGGTACATTACACAAATGAAAAACAAGTTTAATGATGCCAGTAATTATCTAAGAGAGGAGTAATATTGTGCACAGCAACAAAATTGAACATAAAAATTAACAATAAAAATACATGCCACTATACAAGCATTAAAAATAATGTTGAAAAAAGCTTCAATAGTCTCAATGCATTCAAGAACTAAAATAACATATAATATTAAACAAGCAATACCACAGTCCAATACAGCAAGTATTGATCAGAATCATATAACACAGAATCATATAACTCTTTTATCAAAATTTATTTGTAAATCGATTATTCTATAAAAACAAAAATATTTGGAACAAAAGTCGCTTGGCGTGGAGAGCTGAAATTGCAGATAATGATAAAAATACAATTGACCTACTTGATGCCAAATTCTCTGATGCAAAAAATGGTCTGCAAATAAATGTATTTAAATATTCGTAAAATATTATAAAATTGTATAAAATCTGCCTTAAATTTATCTAATAATTCCACTTAAAATCTAATTTTATAAAATATGACATGTAAGTGGAAAATATGTGTAAATCAGAAATAAAGTATACAAAAGTTTCAATGCTTGTAGCATATTCATATAACAAGTACATTTTCAACTGTTGCGTTAATTAAATATATAGCAACGCGATAGAATCAAATGTAGGAATCAGTAAATCCCTATTTATATTCTCGTCACTGTGTATAAATATCGGTGCGTCGTTTGCATCGCGCATATGGTTCGGTCAAATCGTTTACACAGTGTCCCGGTCATGTTATACCGCCGCGAGAAAATGAATGTCGTGCCACGAACCGTCGAATATATCCGCGACGATGACACCCGGACATTTCAGCGGCCGTTAATGCGAACCGCAACGCGACGTCGTTTTCCGGTGTATTATTACGCCCACGGCGCTGACGGTTCCGGTCAGGTGGGCATTGTTTATCGTTTCCGGTGGCACTGCAACACAATGGATGCCGAAAAAATGAATCGTTCACGAAAATTTAGCTTTCGAAATGGAACAATTAGCCGTTTATTATAATAATAATATTATATTATAGTAATAATATTACCATATTATTATCATATTATTATTACGTTGTTATTATTCTGTTATTATTGTATTATTACTTTGTCGTTATTCTCTCATTATTCTGTTATTATTCTTTTATTATTCTTTTATTATTTTATTATTCTTCTATAATTATTCTATCATTTTTACATTATTATTAGTATTATTATTCATTATATTGTTTGATATTATATTATGACCTCTGAACTTATTTCTACATCGTAATTTCTTCACAAATACTCCCACGCATATGTATACTTGATTTTACTTTAAAATCATAATCACTAAAGCCCAACAATGGTCACCCACTCCTTTTACATGTTCTCGTTGAAACGATATGCATTGCACTCAAACGGGAACTAAAATCACCTAACTTCGCCCAAAGAAGGATTAGAATCATTATTGAAGTTAATTATTCAAATACGATGAAAACCTAATTTACTAATAACCTTAATACCGTTATTAACGTCGTTCTTTCCTTCGTTGTTACTTAATTATCACTTCCTTCTTATCTCTAAAATTAAATAGAGTTCTAGAAGATATAAATAGTTTGAATTGCCAATCAGTCATGGTCGCATCAACGCCGACGAAAAAAGAATTTGAAAAAAAAAAATTGAGAAAAGAAATCGGCAATTAGATGTCGTTCTTGAAATAATAAATTGTTCTCATTTCAGGGAGAAAGTAGCCAGGGGAAATTGAAAAAGGAGAGGTTCGACTATTGTCTCGGATCTTTTATTGTCAGTCGCGTTCGAACACCGAGCAGATATTGTTTGTTCGCCCGATGCTCTAATTTCACGGGGACAATGGGGAACACGAATTCAACGTGCGAACGGTGGAAGTCAAGGGATTAAAGGGACGCCTGAATAGGTGTTCCGAATCTACTTAAACCGATAGAAAACTCCGCCCACTGGTAAATAAATTATGGCCCTTCCGGTTGCGCGATGCCGCATTAATCTCCTCGTGATTATTATTTATTCGAATTGTTTGCGAATTCGACGGAAATTCGCCTGGCAGTTGCTCGAGTTGTGATTTATTCAGTTTGTTTTGGAACTTTTCTGAAGGGTCCTCGACTAACGTGACGTAGGGATGAATTGATGCGTACAGAAGTGTGTTAGCGACGTGAAATGGAATTAATTTAATTTCTTATGAGGTTGATAGTGAATATCATGCTGAGAATCAGTCGTATGTGAATCAGTTTTACAGGCTAATCATACATTGCTGTTTATTGTTACTCTAAGAATTTTATGTTTGTGTTTTTGTTATCTGAAAAGACAAGAGTTATGCATACCTAACGAGAACGAAAATTAATTGTTTCTCTATTGCATTTCAGAAGTGAGTTTGAAGAATAAATGTTTAAATATTCCATTAAAATATTATTCGCCTTTGCCACGTAGAGTTATAAATATCAACAGTTTTCCACGAGTGAATGTTTGTTATGATAATTAGATAGAAGACCTTCAAGCCAATTCAAATGTTTGAGAACGTAATTAGACAGTACTACGATGGAGAAGAATTTTTCCTAAAAGGTGTTATAAAAAACACTACACTGTATCCAGTGCATTTTGGGCAAGTTTTCACTATCAAATTTTCTATATAATTAGGAAAATAGAACTACGATGGAGAATAATTTTTCTTAAACAATATTATACAAAATACTGCATTTAAAATATTTTATTATATATATTATATATTTGTTCGTATTTCGTTTATTCTGTACAATTTTTCATCTTGAAATTTCCTATAAATGTATTATACATAAATCTGCAGTCTAATGATAATTATAACAGATTGCAGTTATTGAGAATCGATTTGTTTGTCGTACGCTCGATACGAACGAATCGTCACTATGAAAAATCGTTCCACGTGGTGGCGTGCGACACGGGTTGAATGTGTTCCAAGAAAGCTTCGTGGCGCAGGAATAAAATAACTTCTGGACAAGGTGTAGCCTGTTATACAGCTCGTATATCACGGGTTCTCGAGTTGCGGATAAAAATAGCTCGCGCGACAAGACAAAAGGCGGTCTTTTACTTGGCAACGATGAGTAAGTACGGTTTCGGGCTGCGTTAGGTTTATTAGATTCGCAGCCATATGATTATTGACGTGTTATCAAGTAATAAGGGAGGTGTCTTATTTCTCTTGGCACTGTCTTTTGACTTCAGTATCTTATTTCTTTACTTTGTTCTTGTTTTGTTTACTTTGTTTCTCTTATTATGTTCTAATTGTAGAAATTAAAGAATTATTACGATTAAATCATTATTTAATTCACGAATACTTCAACCAAAACATCTGTACAACTATTGTGAAGAAATTGACACGTTTCTTTTTATTTTGTTCATTTCGTTTCTTTTATTACGTCGTAACTATAGAAAATGAGGAATAATTACTTCAAAGCATTATTTAATTCATGAATATTTCGACAAAAACGTATTTATAATTATTACAAGAAATTGACACCTTTGTTTTTTATTTTGTTCATCTCGTTTCTTTTATTACGTTATAATTATAGAAAATAAAGAATCATTACTTTAAATCATTAGTTAATTCACGAATATTTCTACAAAAACATCTATATAACTATTGCAAGAAATGGACACGTTATTTTGTTCATTTTGTTTCTCTTATTACGTTCCTATTGTATATGAAATGAAACGCCATTATTATTAAATCATTATCTAATTCAAAAATATATTATTTCAACAAGAACATCCTTATAACTGTCACAAGAAACTGCAATCTACCCGTACTCACTTTCATCGTTAAAAATACATCCCTCTCCACGCAACGTGCCCGTCAAACGATTCGAACCCACCCTTATCCGCCCCACAAACCCACAGAGTGTACTAAAATCTCCCTCCAGTTCAAGGTCCCCATGAGACGCCCGTGTCCCCGCAGACGCGAAATCAGCATACCCTATTAATAACACTTTTCAAACGCAAAGTCCCTGTCAATGTTAATTTCACAAAGTCCAGGGAACACGAACGTTTTCAGGGGACACAGCATCTGGTCGAGTTAGGGTAGTTTTATACCATTCCTTCAGACAAGTATCATTCATTAAATGATTAGCTTTCACCTCTCTTCATCCCATGACAACCATTCATTCTTAAATTGTTTGCCTTGCGTTATTTATTAATTATTTACAAATAAAATACAATTTTAAATAAAATGATTCAATATTAAAACCTGCTATGGTGTTCCAATTCTACACTATTTAATACTAGGTTCATGGAACGAGTTACTTTGACACGTATTGAATTTTATAAACATTGTTTGTTAAATATTCACGTCGATTGTGATTGATACAGTTGTCTTAGTATATATCCTAATTGTTTATTCTTCAATCACTAATGTTTAAGGCCTCAACGAACGGATATCGATTTTGCTAGGAGCAGTAGAACAAGCGGTACAATAAGTCTTTGTAAACATAGTGTTAAGGTTACTGTTTTAGTTCTCTTCTCCCATTTTATAATTGATCAACTGACCAATTAAAAAACTAATGATCGATGATCACTGATCTGCAACGCCGACCATGATGAAACATTAACACTAGGTTCACGGGTATTTATCGTAAAGTTCATTCTATTGACCCCAGAAAAGCTGATGTTCGTTTATCGAGATTTTGAAAATTATAGATTTAAGAATAGACAATTATTCGCATTCACATCGACATAAACATTTATCAAGTAATTTTTATAAAATGCGGTATTCGCTAAATTAACGGGTTTCATAAACACTATGTTAAAACAAGAGAAATTAAATCGACGTAACAAAATCCCATCATATTTCTATTGTAAAATTGTAAATTGCGATTTTGAGGTTGTATAAATTATTCTATCATTCCTAGAAAATTGAATGTCATTTAACTACATTCTAAACATTACAGACTTGAAAATAGGCAATTAGCATTCATATTCCTCTAATTGCATCAATTAAAACCAACATAAACATTTAACAAACAATATTTATAAAATTCAATGTGCGTCAAACTAACTCGTTCTATAAACATAGTGTAAAATAGGAACCGCTGATACCATCACCAGTATAAATATTCAATAATTAATTCAATTAATTGAAAAGACGTTTGTTTGCTTAGGTCTTGACTTGTTCTACGTTATTCGTTCAACGAAGACTAATATTTTACTTATCTAACAGGAAAATATCTGACAATGTGTTTCACATAGCATAAATGAAAGTTTCCACGTTCTCTTTGTCTGAGTAGACACTGGATATATACTACTTACATCAGCATTTATATTTCCGAATGCTTCGTACATTTATTTGTTTTGTGGTTGAAAGAATATGAGCGTTTATGAAATAAGCACTGAAATTGAATGAAATGTTGATTAAGTTCAGTGGTTTGATCAATTTCCAGTGTTTTTTACTTCTCAGAGCAAACCGTTATTTATTCCACTCTGTTTCTAGAGATTCGTCAGTTCACTTGTCGATCGAAATTCTATAACCTTCAGCTGTCCCAATTTTAATTATTAAATTTTTCTTGATTGGATAAAATATTGAAGTGATTTTATTAACGATCATAACATTCGCACTACCAAAATTATGTATCTAAAAATTATATAACATATGCTCTACATTATTGATTATTATTTATTGATATTAATCCCTATGCTTCGGGGAATAAATTGAATTGAATTACTATTCTGCAAATATGCAAGTATATTTCCTGAATGTGTTCCAGGAAACAACTGAAAATGCAAATTAATTAAACATTAATTACAATGAAATTTGCCGGACGCTTAATCATGCTGTTGCAATTTAACTTGTCCAATTCTGAACATTATATTTGAAAATAGACAATCAGCATTCACATTCGTCTAATTGCAGCAATCAAAGCCAACATAAACATTTACCAAACAGTATTTATAAAATCCAATGTGCGTCTAACTAACTCGTCCTATGAACCTAGTGTCAAAAAGAAACCGTTGACACCATCACAAAATACCAGCTGCAATGCTAACGAAATAATCAGAAAACCTTCTCTAATTCTAATCTCTCAACAAAATCATTAGTTCAAATTTATTTCTAACTCTCGTTATTCTTCCCCAAAACTTCTGCAGCAACCCACGCATAAACGCACCCTTGGCTTCCCCAAGCTTCCGTAAGAAGATTTATTTCATTTTCGAGGGACCGATTATCAAATGATCTCGATCCACCCGCTTTATTAACCGGGTCCGCCGTCGATAGTCGAATTTGCATGCGAATGGATTTAAAAGCGAGCCGCCGGACGATTTTCCCTAGGACAGGGGAGCCGCCAACCGGCCGGCTGCCTTTCAACCGAGATAATTTCGTATTCCCGGGCACGTCAAGCGGGCGACGCGCGATTAACGTCACTGAGTGAACCGCATTAACCCCTTGCCCTACGATTTAATTTCATAGTTGCACTTGTTAGAACTATTTATCGTTAACACGTTGACGATCACTTTGAAATCGATGGTGGACAACAAAAGCAATTCTTTTGTTTTTGTTAATTAACTTTCTATACGCTTGTGTGACTTTGAAATCACATACCAATATATTGGCATTTTGTTGATTTATTTCATTTTCCATAACAATGTGGCGAGAAAAATTTAGTAATTAATTAACATAAACTTTTATACGCTCTGTCTTGGAAGTTCAACGTCATTATAATTTCAAAATAGCAAGATATACTCGTTTTAATGAAATTATTAGAACTATTATAATATATTGTTAATTTGCATTTACAGGTTAATATCTGTCAATTTTATACTGTACACATTCTTTTATGGTCACGGAAAAAAATTCGGCCTACAGGGGTTAATTGATCTTTTGGGAGTTCGATCAAGATTTCAGAATAAAATTATTATAGTTCTTTATTTATGATACTAAGAATATAGGATTATTGTCGTCATTTGTACCTACATTCACAAGCATTGG